TTAACTTTTTTCCCTCACCACAAAAAGCCCCAAAAAAAAAAAAAAAAAAAAAAAAATTCATCAAAATTTGATGAAAAAAATAATAGCCATTGTACTGACCCGTCGGTTTTTGACAGTTTTTAACGGTAATGGGGTAATGATAAAGTTACCTTTTTAAATCAATAACGAATAACGGTAACGAGTTACATTGAATAAATAACTTTTTCCACCGTGCATATATGAATTAGGGAAGTACTAGAAGATAATTACCATAATTTTGAATCTACGTGTTTGTCTATCGCAAATGGAGATAAAGCACGTCCATGATCGAGTAGGGTTTAAGAGTCGGGCAGTGTTGAATGATCCTCGTCGACGTGATCGTTTGTAAGATAGATATCACGGACAATGGGCATTCATGTACCATCCCCCGAGCGAACAGCCTAGGATAATCTCGATTTCTGCGACTTATCACGAGCGATAATACATTTGTAATCGAACGGTATCAAATCGCGAATCGCACCTAAACGAGGGGAGGCCGCGATTGTTCGCTCTTCGTTCTCCCCGCTATATATGCGTATTGCGCGCTTTCAAGACAACCGGGAATCGCGTAATCCTCGTCGAAGCTCTTGTTCGCGAAATAGATTCAACGTCGGAAATAGCGAGGGGATTAAAATAATCCAAGTATTCAAAGATACATGCGTGGCATTGAATTTAAATACAGCATAAAAGCAGTAGTGTAGCGCTAAAAAAACAAGTCCCATCCTTCTTGCCGCGTGTTCCTTGTCTCAGAGTTTCTCAGGAAGATTTGAAAAAAATTACGGCCATTGATAATCAAAAGTTTTTCTTTTTCTTCGGAGAAGGGTGGCTTAACTCGCGGAAACCGCGCGCGTCACGCGACTTAATTAAAGCAGCATGGAACGCGCTCTGTCGCACCACTGCTTAATCCATTCATAATTTCATTACGTTTCGTTATGAAGTAATTAGATAGATTAAACAGATAGAATTGTGAGCGTGCGACTGCTATGACTAATTAATATATATATACCAACGAAAAATATGCACGCTCGTAATACGCCGCGCGTTTGTCGTCTTTGATCGCGCGAGTGTTCACTTAAGACGCGTTGCTTATCTTTTATTCTCCGATACGTTTTTCAGTAGAATATGTGTCACCTATCGATTACCGGCGAAGGATGCCGTCGCTATGAAATTTAATAAAACATCTGCGGAACGAAACGCAAGATATACTACTCGCGCTCACAACCATGCGAGTGCAACGCCCCAATATTTCTGTTAATTGCATTAGAATTAATCGAACTCTCGCGTTATTGCGTGCTATCGTGCGACGTCATAGGGTGCCAATGCGCAGTATCAGCAGAATAATACGAAATTTGTTTAATTATAATGCAATTAACTCAAATATTGAGGCTTTTCACCCGCACGCATGTGAGTGTCAATGACCACAAAATTGATTATGATTTTAATCCCTTTACCCTTTGGATATTCCAATAAAATCGGGCTTTAATATTTTCAAATATAACTATGCCGAATTTTCAATTTGATTAATCCTATGCACAAATACTGCCGACCCGGTTTCCGTTCATATCAAGTACACACAACAATGATAAGGAATCTAATTCCAACTTTAGTTGCCTTTTCTAAACTATCAAGATCAAATTTTTAACTTTCCAAGGTGCGGTAATGACAGTACCAGAAGATCTAATACTGACTTCTCCCCCCCCCTCTCTCTCTCTCTCTCTAATCTCTCTAATCTCTCTCTCTCTCTCTCTAATTCACTCTGGAATCTCTTTAATCTTATCAGATTGATAAAGGAAAAAAAAATTCCAATCTCGTTTAACACGCGACAGTGACGAAGTCCAGAGGTATACCTCAAACTGACTGAGACGTACCGTATCGATCCGTAATCGCTTTCGATTCCTCTTCTTGCGTTCTGGGCTCTCGCGTGTCGTAGCCGATCCTGTAAATGCCCGTGTGAACGACGAAGAGGCGCGAAGAACCCTCCACAGTCCCTGGGAAGGAATTGATCGCGATAGCACTGCCAGCGATTATCCCGCGCACCTGCCGCAGCCGAATTGTCATACACGGGGTATCTCGCGCTCGTCGTCCCGAATATCGCCAGTTCGCCGGCCGACGAAACCGCTTAACGCCCGGAAATTAACTGATTACGATAGTGTCGTCGAACGGGGGAGCATATATCCCGCTTGTTCGCGCACATACACACACCCTCCGAGGGTGTTACTTTTACTTCCCCTCCCCCCGCCGCCCGCGATATAATCTCGCTCTTTCTCTTCCTCTTTCTCGTCCTCTCGAACCGACCTTCGACTATACCTAAGTACTGTAGGCGATCGGACGAGGCAATATTCCCGAACAGCGGAGAAATTAATTACAATCCATGCCGGCCGCGTTGACCAATCATCTCGCGCGCGTTTCCAAGGGGATCCTCGCGGGGCCCGCGCGGAATGTAATTTTCTGCCACCCTCCTCCGGGTCTCGACTCTCATATACGATTAACGTGCCAAGCGTACGCTCGCCTCGCGATCGTATACGAAAGTGCCCTCCGCTGCGCTGCGGTGAAATTGATTTGTATTCCCGCCGAGAGATGCGGGTCACCGTATACGCACGCATGCACGAACGCACGATGCTGCGGAACACTGATCCACCCGACGAGTGGATGCAGAGAGGATGCTGCAGCTCTGACACTTGGCATCACTTCTCTCTCTCTCTCTCTCTCTCTCTACCTCTCGTAAACGCACGCGGTTGAGGCTCGATCAAGCGCGGCCGGCACTCGACGCGCGCGGCTCCGACCACGACACCGACCGCCGTCACCGACCGCTGGCTGGTTGGCTGGCTAGCTGACAGGCAAGCTCAACGGATTTGCGCGTGCCAAAGCGGGTGATTGACCGGGTTAGACGCGTCAACGTGGATCAAGGTTCGCGGGCGGGGAGATAGAGTTATTTGCGAGCGATGGGTTATCCGTTATTCGGTCGCACGCATCGAAGGTGGGAATATATCTCGGAAATCTCGGAAATCTCGGAAATCTCGGATCGGGAACGCGCGAGGGAACGAGACGAAACGGGACGCACCTTGGCTGTTTAGACAGAAGTTGGCTGTCTAGAGACGGGCCGCAAGGTTAGCCAGCCACCGCGAATAGGGTCGATAGGGGGTTTCCCCGCCGTCGCCGTCGCCACCGCGTCCACGCCAGTCCACGCGCCGTCGGAAGGCCGTTTCAGTTTCAGGCTGCTCGGCTGGCGGCGTCGCTACCTGCGGCCCGTAGTGTGGCCTTTCACCTCGGGGGGTGTGGCGACAGCGATTCGTGACGCCCCTCGCGCGCGCACGACGGGGTTGCTCTCTCCCTCGAGGAGAGAATTTCCACCGCGGCACGGGGTTCCGCTTATCGGGGGTGCGGGCGCACGAATGCTCCACGAATGCCGCCGCGCGGAGCGGACAGCCGACAAAGAGCGATAGAGATCGATCACGCCGGCCACGACGGCGCTCTCGCACGGTCGTCCGCCGAACTGACGAGCCACCCTGAGAACTGCGGGCTCACCGAACTCGCGGCAACCCCTCTCCACCAACCCCGCGCCACCGACCCCTTCCGCCTACCCCTACTATTCCACTTGACTATCCTTCCACTTTGCCAACCTTCCCGCGACTACACCCCTCTTCGTCCACAGAGCACGTCCCATTCCCACGCCAAGAGGCGCTCCGTTTACCCCTCTCTTCTATCCTCCCGCTGTCCCCGCTGTCCCTCTCTCGCCTCTGCCTTCTGCCTCGCCAACCCTCTCGCGGCACTCTCTCCCTCCCCTTTCTTTATCCCTGGAACCCTCCCTGCCCCGCGGACCGTAGGCATCCCTGCCACCAGTGAGTAGAAAGAGGCTCGATCGGGTCCGCCGCGCCGCGCCGCGCGACCTCACGTTCCGACTTTACTCTGCCCATCGCGCCGCACAGTGGTGCCTAAGAGGGATTTTGCGGCTGAAACCTCGCAATGTTATAATTGCTTCATTATAGCGAGCAAATGTGGTATATTAACAAAGGAAACTGTTTATTAAACGATGATTCCTCTTAATATTTAATGTTAATCTCCTTTCTCTCTCTCTCCCCCCTCTCTGTTTCTATCCATCTCTATACGTTCGCACATTAATATGATATATGTTTTTTTATTATTTTCTTTCGTTCATCATGTGTGAGACTGATGAGACCGATGAGATCGTATCGTCTCAACTGCAAATTATTCTCGATCATTTCCAACTTGAACTAGTTCATATCGCTTATAAAATACTGTCCTTTTGCATACAAATTGTTACGACTGTCGCATACGGACGGAACGTCAAACTGTCAGAAATGTTAAAGAAAATATTAGTTGAACTATCCGTAAAAGCCATTTTATTTCAATACGTTTTAATGAAACATCGTGATATTTTCATTGTGACAACATGAGGAATTATGCAAAACTGGAAACAAAAAAAATGTAACAACTCTTTAACTTTACCCGCAAATGTTACATTTCTCATTTTCTGGAATTAATTTTCAACATAATTAAATAATTGGGGAACAATTTCACGAAACATTAAACCCCTCATTTACGTGACATTTCTGTCGCACGAAAACGCCACTGTTGCGAATGCCACTCGCAAATGTTTCGTCCGCGTCTTTTCATTAATCGACTCGTGCGATTACGCAGGTAATAAAAGAAAGAGGAGAAAAAAACATTTTACCTTGGAAATTCCGCTTTTATCCGTTTAGGCACCACTGCGCGTCGCGTCGCTATCCACTTCACTTCACTCGCGATCTTTACCGCGACAATTTAACCGCGCTCTCCTCTCCTCGCTGCGGAGAAGAGAGGCTGGCAGGAGGAGAGGATGGAGAAGAGTCGATCCTTTGAAGTACGTTTCCCCGATAATTTGATCGCTCCCGCGAGACGCGATCTTTTCTCTTCCCTCGAATCTTCTCATCTGGCATCGCCTATTCGTGGCGCCTGTCCATACGTTTTCTTTTTTTTTTTTCTATTACGATAGATGCTTCCCGGGACCGCCCAGTAGATCGACCCGGAACCACGCCAGAATGGTCGTCCGACGATAGACGTGGAATTACCATTGACTCCTAATGCAATTACCGATAGATACGTCGTTTCGTTTTCACCACGAGGTCATTTGGCCGCCCCGGCGTGGCGACACAAACAAATGGCATTGTTGAGTTCTTTCGTCCCTTCGACGCGGGAATTCCCTTAATGAACGTCGGAAAAACGTACGTCCGAATGAATGAATGTATATCGATCCGTATTCGTCAAGGATTAAACCTACGAACCGACAAATGTCATAAACGCTGGTCTTACGCGCTCTTAACATTATCCGAGCGAGGGTATTACTCAACCTTTCAAGATATATGACTTTTATGGCTATAAATCGTACGTCCGATAACGCTATTCTCCGCGGTGCTCTAAGGTCGAGCTATTTCTGCGGTTCTAAGTCACTAATCCGAAGACTTAATAAAATAATCTTCCGAGAATCATATCCAAGTATTTCCACGCTCGCGTGCCTCACAACCGTTTCCCCAATCTCGATTCGACAGAAATAATTACACTCGCGGCTCGCGGGCTTTAATGGAAAAATGTCATAACGCGATGCAGTTGCAAATCGTTTTAATGCTATTCAAGATGGCGAGGTTCGCCTGTCACGCCCCAATAAACGCCAGACTGATTTTCTATGTTACACAGCGCGATATCGTCAAAACATAAAATATGTGTATTGTATATACCTACACGCATGCGATAGCCTTGAATTGACGTTCGCGTGCATGCTCTCGACGTATCGTTATACCGCCTGTCACAATGCTCTAATTTTTGCACTGTCGCAAAACATATGGCTCACGCTTGACAATAATACGACGGTCATCTACGATACGTCCGCCAAAGTATTTTCCAACTTTATGAATTTTATTTAACGAGCTGCGCAAAAAAAAAATCGATTTGTACGTTCATTCTATTCGCGATAGTCCTGCAGAAAAGTTTTTGACGTTCAATAAATTTCGACGCGCTTTCAATTGCATATATGTATGTGTACGGACTAATATTCAAATTTCATTCGAAAGAATTCATACGACAGACACGCAAGTATAAAGATTTATTATATTGATCCGCGTTGGTACGAGCCGAGAAATTTCGGTGATATGAAATCGACGAATCGTCCGTGCTGTTTTTACAAGATTTGTGTATGTATGTGTGTGTGTTAAATAAACGCCCAAAACACTGGATATATTAATGTTTGTATAAAAGAGAATAAATACGTATTGATATTTATACAAAAGAACAAATAATAACGGTCGACTGTTTTCGTGCTACCTCAGCGTAAAACACACACACACACACACACTAAAAATAAACAACTCGCATCCATCAGTTCTTTGTATAAAATATTTCTGTAGGGCATATATGCGTTTCCCTAATTATTTTTATACAAAATTTATTCAAAGCAGGGAGCTTGTTATTTCCTGCAGTTCGCCAGCAGAAACTGGTCTGCCGAATTAATGCGATGTACTTTGCCAGCAGCGCAACACGAGGCCGAGAAGAATGTTTGCGACAATATCTATATGATAAAAAAGACTGGTATTTTGCATAATGCCAAAAATATCGTGACAAGCGGCATACGTGCATTCGTACATACGTAAACACACGGACGCCGGGTGACCTGAAGCGTGAAAATTACAATGGCGGAATCGGTGCCGGTGCCGGTGCCGATGCCGATGCGCCAAGGCGACGTTAAAAACGTCGGTATATACGGCGAGGGGTTTATCTTTCGACGACTATATATGTAAATTTCAAGGATAGATTCTACCGCGCGCGCACGTCGATGAATTATGTATCGACGATGCACACACGCTTCGTTAGTTTCGTATAGCGCAATTTCAAAGAGCGCCGGTCAATTTGTCGGTGTGCCATCAAAAATGTATGGTCCCGTTGTTGTTGCGCGATGAATACGAGATTGCATTTGTGGTTTACAACAAATGACGCGCTAATTATAAATTTACACATCCCTAGAGCCGGATAACCGGCTTGAGTGCGCGCGGCCGCTCAATGGCGAGGGATTATGACCTCGCGTAGTATATAATTCCGCTTTATTTATTGATCGTTTAATTATGTATCCACGAGAGACGAGGGGAAAGAGAGAGAGAGAGAGAGAGAGAGAGAGAGAGAGCAACAAAAGGTATTAATATTTGACATTGCACGCATTGTCTGTGAAACTGTCATCGGACGAATGAAATTGCAATTGAATCTTTAAACGACTACAAATCAAAGGCTCCCATAACTTCCCCCGATTTAATTACCAAATATTCTATAATTATGGCATCAAGCAATTATTATTCGATGAGTTGACAAACGAGCGCAAACCAAAGTCCGGTATAATCATCGGGGATGGAAAATCTCTAGTTGTTGGAACGTGGCGGCCGTGCGTGCCAATATCGGAGATATTGCTATCTAATTAATCGACATAGTTAATTAACCACGTTCGACGTGCAAAAATGTCCTTCCCGCGCGCGAGAATGGAACGTGCGAACGGGAACGCATTTCGATTTCGACAATACCGCCAATCACACCGCAGAAAATCAATTTTGACATTTGATCGTTAACGTTCAGAGCTGTCCGATATATTGTGAATAAACCCGCTATTGTGCACGCGGCGGCGTGACCGCGTGGCGTTGTAATATAGTATGTACGACACAGCCGCGCGCATTACACGCGGATAATAATTCACTCGTAAATTGTAATTTCCTGTTATATAACGCGACGTTTAATATTAACGCATTGTGTCGTTCGCATTACTTCGCGAAGGAAATTGCGAGATGGAAGGCGCGGCAATCTGGGCCGCGCGCGAACGCCCCCAAGATGAACCGGTTAGCGTAACTTTTGTCGTCACTCGTCGTGTAACTTCGCAGAATGTAAAGTGTAAATTTTGACGTTACCATGCTCACCCGTCGACAGCTGTATGTGTTTTCCGCATAGTTCCTACTATCAACTACTTTTCTTGCCGAGCACTCGACGGAAGTATACGCGAAATAAATCTCAACGGACGCGCGAGAACGTCGAAGTGAAGCTGCGAGGCAGATGCGAGGGAGGATGAAGGAAAAGTAGACTAAAAGGAAGAGAGCGAGTGGCAAGAAGTTTAGCGACTTAACGTTCAAAGCTTGCCCTCGAAAACAAGTAGCGGGAATGTTTTATTATTTATACAGAGCGTACCATGTTAATTACCGTGTCTTTGCTG